AAAATATTCTATGATGGTGATACTATCTGTACTTAAAGCTGGATGGTTCTTCATTATCAGAATAACAAGACCTCCTTTTATACCCAATTAGGTACAGCTTTAAGTAAAAACACTGTACCCAAATCCTTCTATACCCTTATTTTAGCCAAAAAATATTCTATGATGGTGATACTATCTGTACTTAAAGCTGGATGGTTCTTCATTATCAGAATAACAAGACCTCCTTTTATACCCAATTAGGTACAGCTTTAAGTAAAAACACTGTACCCAAATCCTTCTATACCCTTATTTTAGCCAATAAATATTCTATTGATACCCTCACAATAATTTAGTAGAGTGAGGGAGAGCTCACTTGGGTGGCATATATTTCAGCAATCTTTTAAGATGATCTAAGAGTAGAACAGACCCAGTACATAAAACCAACTACTGACTCAACCATATTTTAGCTATCAACCTTTTCCCTATTCTACAATTAGTGACTAGTAAACTTTGCAGGTAGTTAATATTTTAGGTAAAATATTAAAAGCTGCTCCAAATATGGATGGGACTTACAAAGTATTTTTTCAGTAGTTGAGGGAAGGGTTCATCCCAATCATCTTTGAGGATCCTCATCAGTCTAACAGACAATCATTCTTTGTTATCATTCCTTCCAAAAACACTAATCTGCTCTGAAGAGCAATTGTTTCTATTTCTATTATAAGAGGCTATACAGCTGCCCTCATTTCTACTCAATTAATGTTCACATCTCCTAGTTATTTGAATCCTGTAGTCAAATATACCTTAAAAAGAGCATCAGTCTCATGTTATGTTTTAATTATTGTCTGAGCACATTCAGTTTATATACAGTCTCACTCTGCATTTTTTTTTTTTTTTGGTCTGCAATGAGTTGCTGAATAAGCCAGATTAATCAGCTTCTAAGAAATCATGCCATGTATCTTGACTATTCTGAGATACAGTTGAAGAAACATAGAAACACCATATTGTTCTTCAAGATCAGTATCTCGGTTTTGTTATTTGAGGTGACAGTTCCTTTAAAATTACCTATACTGGCCCCTCATGAGCCATTTGGCATTAATAGGAGGGCAATATTTTCATGACGGAAAATGGGAATATCAATTCAAATAAAAATCGTTATTACGGTCATTGACCACTGTAAAATAATGTTAAACTATCTAGTTTATAAATTATGGAACAGGTAGTTAAATTAGAATTACTGATACAGAACTATGCAAATCTGTGGGAATATGTGTAAACTCCTTGGAAACTTCTCATTGAGCATATAGTTGGTAAGAGGAAAAATGGGTGCCTGAATTGCACTTCTTCTCTCAAATCTTCTGCTACATAAACCTTGACAGTGGATGTGAGATTTCTACACTCTTGCGTTGCAAGGAAAATAAGGAAGCTGTTCCTATGAAATATTCTACAGTATCAGTATCATTTTTTTTCTAGCGGGAAAACCAAAAATCAGATTGGTTTCAGTGCTTTGTGCTTTAGTCAGTGATCCCAGAAATGCTCATGATTAATAGTAATGATATAACTATAGAATAACCATTTTAAATTGCCTACAATACATAAATACATAAATGAATTGAGAAAAATATTTTAAATATTTACCAAGAACTGAAGCTATGCATGTTCCTCCATTCTGACAATAATTGTTACAATGGTTAATTTCACATCTGTCCCCTGAATAATTTGGCCAACAATAACATCTTGGGTCACCTTTTTCATTTATAATACATCTCCCTCCATTTTCACAAGCCAGCTTACATGTATCATCTGTACTTAAGATATAAATATAAAATCATAATTTTATCATTGTTCATCCAGTAGATGAAATAAAATGAAACAGAATAAATAAATTGCTAGCACAGAAGAATGTTAATGGATAATGCATCAGTTGTAGCCATCCAGGAATGTTTGCTGCTCATAATTCATATAAGCAACATGTTCAGTTGAATGTTTCATCACAAGGCCTTGCTACTAGTAGGGGTGTGCAAAGCACTCAGTGGAGTAAGTCATACAGCACATTGGTACAAACAAAACACCATCCTTGAAATGTTGAAGTGGCAATAACCTCCAGTAGCCTTGACATGGTTCCTTTGAAGCCTCTCCCACATATTTTGAATTAACATTTTGCATACACAGATGATACTTCTACTGGGATCAATGGCATAGAGAAATGCTACAGATGAACTGGCTTGCAAAGAGCTGAGAAAGTTTACCAAGCTTTCCAGAGGACCTTGCTATATTAAAGCTTTGAATATGAGTGCTTTGCCTGTGCCAACTTCCTATGCAAATACTTTGGATAGATCTGATAGCATAACTGGTATAGCAGATCTGTGCACTAATGTTGAATTCGAATGTTGTAGCAGCATAACAAAAGTAGATTTTCCCAAAATTAATAGTGTCCAGATGTATTGGATATGCAACTCCCAAATTACATATTATTAAGGAGTTATGGGAACTGCAATCTTTCTTTCTTTGTCATTGTTGTGTCTTTATATTTCTGTGTGGGAGCTGATGTGGTTATTGTTATTGTTATGATTGATTTGATTGGTTTTAACCTCACTGTGGTTGTTTTGTTTATGTAGCCTGTAAGCTGCTAAAAGTTGTTTGATTGCAGCAGAGTAGAGGTATAATAAATAAAAGAAGGAATACAAGAAATGAGAGGTGCTGAAGTCTTTTAAACCATGTAAATTTAGTGGGAGGGAACTTCAAATCATAGAATGCAACTTTTAGGTAGATTTAAGTTTAAAAGCTAAGAGTTTAGGAGTCAAGTACTAATAAAAGTTAATAGCATTGTGCATTTTTTACAATATTCAAATGCATTAATTTATTTAGACTTCAGACACTGAAGTAAATATAATAATAGAGAATTTAGCATGATTCACCTTGTCTACTGGTACTTCAACAAAAATACACAGAGTCAGGTCTTACTTTCTTAAATAAATGTCAATACCCACCTAACATGTTCAAATCACTGCATGTTCCATTAAACATTGACTTTCCTTCTGGGCATATGCAAGCTGCACCTGAAGGATTGAGTAAACACAGGAACTCACAGGTAAACTGTAGACAAGGATTGAGTGCTATTTGGAAGGAGAAAAGAAAGAAGCATAACATGGATTACTTTTCAGATAAATAATGAAATAAGAAGCAAAGCCCTTATAGCCATTAAGATTTAGCCCTGAGTCTGTCCCTCAATCCCATTGGAAAGGGAACAGTGTAAGACATCTCCTGACCCTCTGTTTTTATTGTTTTTATGGACATGAATGGATTCTCACAAGAAGTGGTAAGCAATCTGGTCTCCTCAATAATCACTACTCGGGTTTATGGGAGCCATAAACGCAAATATGAGAGCCAGTTTGGTGTAGTGGTTAAGGCATCAGGCTAGAAACTGGGAGACCATGAATTATGGTTCTGCCTTAGGCACAAAGCCAAATGGGTGACCCTGGGCCAGTCACTCCTTAGGAAGGAGGCAACAGCAAATCACTTCCGAAAGACCTTGACAAGAAAACTGCAGGGAGTAGTCCAGGCAATTAGCAGGAATCAAAAACTGACATGAAGGGACAGACAGACAGACAGAAAAGCAAAGCAAAACCAAAACACAACCCACCCCCCAAATATCTATAGGGTATAAGGCTTTCATTTTATTTATTTATATACATATTTATATGGGATCTACTCCACAGATTGTACATGACTTATATTCGAAACCAAGAAAAACATACTGAAAAAGAAAATATACCATACATCATGTCATCACTTACTTCTTGACCCCTTTCCCCAGCAAGAACTTGTCTAATTAAAGAACACCTTCAGCTGTAAAGGTTCATTGGAAGAGAAGAGTCTTCACTGCCTTATGAAATGTTAGCAGGGAAGTGATCATCATAATAAAACTTTTTTCTCTTCTTCCCCTTGTAACTACAAACCATTTCATTATTAAGCCCAGTAAGAATTATTTCTATAGTTTCTACCCTAATCCTAATTCTATCCCAAGTCACCAAGAAATAGCTCACTTACTGAGTCACAGAAGTCTTATGTAAAATGCATAGGAAAGGGTGAATCAATTATATATTCATTCTGTATGCTATTTTGACTCTTAAGATATTTTAAAATGTTTTCCTGAAAGTAATAAAATATACTCACAGTGTGTTTGCTTGTAGCGATGTGAAATCAAGGCACTTTTTGTTTTATCAGTCTCCACATTCAAATATTCTACAGTACCATGGCCAAATTTTTGCACTCTAAATGCACCATTTTTAGGTCCAGCTCCATATATATAGTTCTCAAAAATATCAATTCTATGAGGATGGAGTAAACCTTAAATAAATAAATAAATAGATACACATTTCAGTTTAGATGGGACTAAGTGACATTTCTGTACCAACATATAAACTAATGCTAGTATTTTTGTAGTGATATTTTGGTTTTATGAACAGCATCTGGAGTTGATAAAGTTGGCAAGAAAAATAAGGGATCCTATGTGACCTCTCCACTGGAAATATGCATCCTTGCTATCCAGCAGAAGATCAGAATGAAGGTACTCACAACTAATAATTATACTACAGTGTTCATCATGCAGTATTTTAGGGTTCAATACAACAAAAAGGAAGAACAAATATTTTATATCTCTATTCATTTTATTTTCTCTTTCTCCAGAATAGGGAACTCTTATCATCAGAATGCATGCAGAATCTGAATAAGTTTTTGACATTACAGAAAGTTTCCTCAGCTAAAATAATTCAAATAGGAAAGTTGTGAACTATTATTATTTTCTAATGCATATGCAGAAGCATCAAAAGATACTATGGTACTTTCTGTTTATCCTATAAGCCCTACAGTAAAGCAGAATCCTTGTAGTCTTTCATCTTTTCTTTGTTGACAACATTTTAATTGGAAAACCTATTTTATCAGGAGAAAACCAGATCCTGGGGATATGGATATATATCCACATGTATTTGTGTTTTGTTCTTATACTAAAAGGCAGATTTACAATCCGCAGAAAACTTGCAAGTGATGGTGGGGGCAGAATTCACTGGTTTCAAGCTTTGCTAAAACAGAATCTATTTTCAAGATGGAAATTCAACTGATTTACTTATACCAAGTTATAAACCATGTCCAGCATCTTACAACTGGTGTAAAAATGAAGGTCTGTAGAATATTTTGTTAAAATATATACTTACCTTGTTTGCTGCTAACACATATAACCAAATCAGAGCCATCAAAAAGAACACTGCCAATTACTGATAATTCAAAATCAGCCCAGAACAAGCGTTGACTGAAGTTATCAACCACAAGACCTGGAAACATAAGACTTTTTCAACATATTTATTAAGAACTTGAATGTAAAAAATTGCATAAGAAAAATTATCTCCTAGTCCTGGAAACATTTTTACATAACTATACAAAACAAAACACAAGATGTAATTCTAGAAGCGTGCTTCTAGATTTGGATTTCTCCATATGAACACTGTACAGTAATTCATGCTATGAGTTAGTCCTAACATACAAACAGTTATGTAAGCCCCAATTTACTTAAATCCATCCTTACAGAAAGATGAACAAGAACAGTGGCTGCAATGTTTGTGCATGTACATGTTGTACATAAAAACTGCTTTATGCAAAAGTCCCTGAAAGAGAACCCTGGTATAATCCAGGGATTGCCTATATACTAGTATGCAGTTGGATGTTACAATATTAATGGAATAAGAGAGGACCTAAATTAGGGATGAGGACAAATTTGAAGGAAACCTGGGCAATTCACACTTCCCAGATTGTATATGTAAACCAAAAGATACTCATGTTTCCAGATTTGATGCAGTTCCCAGTTGCAAAAAATGTACCAAAAACTGCATATATTAGAGAAAGATATGCAGAAAAGTATGCTACATTAGGGAAAACTGTTTTCAATCACACATAGTAGGAAAAGAAGGTAGAAAAATACAGATATTAGTATAAAATGGATACAAAAAATTAAGAGATGGTGTATAGAAAATATATGCTAAAAGAGATGAACATGAAAATGCAAACATTTTCAAGCAGAATAAATTCTTTCAAATCACAAATATAAAGGGCAATGAGCTGGAATGAATGTAAAGAAGAAAAAATGTGAAATGAGAAAAATCAAACTTATTACATTCACCTAGCTACAAATGTATAAAATAAACATATTGTAAGGTTTCATAAAAGCAATATAGGTTATAAGTAACTAAATGAAGATAAAGCCAGAACCAATGAATTGATCATAATAAATAAGATGAGTATTATTGCATTTCTATATTTTGTCTACTCACAACAAAGTACTTCAATTTGCAATACTGATTTCACATTCAACATTAATTACGGTGGAATCTATGAACATTCTCCAAAGTAAAAATTTGTTTATAATGGGTATTACTGAATTTTAATACAGACTAAGTTTGGCTGTGCTTTAGATTTGATTTTCACTTCACAACAGGCACAAACATTACAACTACCCACAGTTCTTTAAAGCACCCCAATGTTTCCCAGAATCAGTCCAAAGCTTTAATTTAGACTTTCATCAAACTTTGACAAAAGGGCATTAAAAAAACTGTAATATAGAGTTTGTTCAAAGTTTTGTAATCTGCCACTGCATTCTTAATATTTTAAAATACACTTGATTCATACACTCTAAATGATAGGTAAAACTGTGATTCAATGTTATGCAAATAAGAATAATAATAATTGCTACTATCAACTGTAGTACATAAGGGCAAAAGCAGAAACAATATCACATTGTATTAGTCATTCTTGCTTCTCAGAGGGTTTCAAAACACAATCTTCTTTCATTGCTTTCTAAAGTCTCCAATATTTTCTTATTTCCCAGGATTCCTTTCTATACCAAGAAAGCCTACCTCTGTATAGTATTCTAGAGTAAAATATCACAGATATATGTAGGATGTGCACATGTTTAATGTACATTTTCTATAATGTAGGTATAAATGTACGTATAAAACGCTGTTAGTTTTTCATGTCATTTTCTTAAAGCTAATGTTTATATTTCTTGTACAAACATTTATATTATATATTATATAAATTTCTATGACCAACATAAAGATTGTTATGTTAACTCTGTTCCATTGTAAAAAAAAAATGTTTCCTAGTAAAATTCCAGTTTAAGGGTTGCTCTGATGGCTTCATGCTTTATAAACGTTAGGATTATTTCACACTGAAAGACATTGTTTACAGATAAGAATGATGTAAATGTGACATTCTTTTCCACATTGTCCTTCTTAGTAATATGTGGAGGTATTTGCTAATAATATCTACCAATGATGTGACTGAATAAAATATTAATATTAATTTATCTGTACAAACTACTTAAACAATGTGACTGTTATTGATTTATTTGTATGCTGCCCATTCTAATAGTCAGAAAAGCAGTAATTGTGTAATGTGCCTTACCAACCTTGTAAGGAAATATCATATGACTAATTTGCTTATTTAATTTATATTAAAAGCTGTAGATAGCAAAATATTTGACATATAAAAAGAGGTAATGTTCTAGTGCAGCTGTAACTATTTGCCATTGTGCACAGAATTTGTTTAAATGTTTCTTTTGCTATCAAAGTAGTCTGGTACAAACCACAATGATGGAAATAGGATGTACTGTACATTGCCCAGCCTTTTGTACTGGATCCCAACATTGGATGAAAGTATGTAAGTCATATTGTTTGTGTCACAACATTGTGATGCACATTTCATTTCATTTCATTTCATTTCATTTCATTTCATTTCATTTCATTTCATTTCATTTCATTTCATTTCATTTCATTTCATTTCATTTCATTTCATTTCATTTCATTTCATTTCATTTCATTTCATTTCATTTCATTTCATTTCATTTCATTTCATTTCATTTCATTTCATTTCATTTCATTTCATTTCATTTCATTTCATTTCTTATTTATTTATTTATTAGATTTGTATGGCCACCCATCTTTAAATGCAACTCTGGGCAGCTCATTTTGTCATTTGTTCTCCTGCTGATGCCTATGACTGAATTAATAAGCATCAACAAACAAGTATTGAAAGTTGTATATAACAAGGATATATTATCCTAAAAGTACAACTTAGATCTGACATCTGAACAAGAGAAAAAAAATAATTCTGTGCTAAATATATATTTGCAATATCATAGGAGGAAAAATAGAAAGAAATAATCCTGTGCAGCCTATATAAAACTATTGAACATTACAAAAAACACAGAATCAGGACTATTGCTAGCTTGCAATATAGCACAGAATGACTTAATTGTTTTAGCTGAAATGGAATGCATTAATATGTAATGTTATTATTGAAGTTTAGCTGTACCTGTTGGTCTTTGTAAATTTTTTTGTACTATTATCCTCCTCAAAGTACCATCCATTGCTGCTTCTTCTATATGAGAACGATCTCCAATTACAGTCCAATACATCATGCTGGAAATCCCAAACACAAATCATATAGTACTATTCCATTATACTTAGCACAAAGAGCCTGCTGCTATTTGTCAGTTTATTCATTTCACATCCTTCTGAGAACTCACAAGGCTACCAATTTTTTATTTTGAAACCAAGGCACTGTATTCCATAAACCAAAATGAAAAACTCATGAGAATAAGACCCAGACATAAACCCTGGGCCATGTAAGTGGTAGCTTGCATGGGATATTTTATGTCTCTAGTTAATTCTGGATGGGCTATAATGTTCTTACAAGCATTCATTTCATGGTAGCATCAGAAGATTATGAGTCCTCATAGCCCCTGGTCAGACACATTCAGCATAGGACTGACATGCGAAGTCAAGAAATTCTTTAGTAAGTCTGGCTAGTTAGTATTGCTATGGATGCATAATAATGAGCCAGGGGCCATTATATCTCCACTGCCCCTTTGTAATATCCTCTGGCAAAGGCCAGGGATTCCTTCTTCTGAAATTGCCACTAACGGACCTATTTTTATCTTGGACCTCGAATTTAAACATTTATCGGAGAAGTCTCACATATTTTTCCAAGGCATCGGGCACAATTTTATTGAGCTATGGTTTATTTTGTTTCTAAATAGCTGCTGCTAGCCATCCTCTGAACTGTAATAAAAGCTGGAAGTTCAAGAGGTAGTATAGATGTTATCAGGCTCAAGTGTAATGAGTACTGAAAATGGAACATACATACATACATACATACATACATACATATCTCAGATTTGTGACAGAGCTAACTGCAGTTATTGCAGGGTTTGTTGTCATCTTTACTCTGACTTTGACCAGTGCCCTTTCAGGAAAGATCTATGACTTTGGCTCCAAACAACTTTTCAGTGCTCTTCTGCACATTATTTTCGCTATTAAATATGTTTGTTTCAGGCCTATACATATTTTTTTTTCTGCTTTGTACCAGCTCCATTGGATTATTCAACTGGCTATTATTTAAATAAAAATATTAAAGTCACACTCACTTACTGTACCTCATGAGTATGGACTAAGCTGTGGTGACTCCAATCATTAGAATTTTGAGTAACTTTAAATTGAGAATTTGTGCTTATCTGGTCAACAAGTAGAGGAGGAGGCAAGAAAGGGCTAATTTTCTTTTTTGTGAAAAGCAGGGCCAAGCAAACACAGAAACTGTGTCATTCCAGAGGAGGAGGAGAAGACTTTCAGAGCACTTACACTATACAATGCCTTACATAATGCCTATCATAAAAGTTCTTGGTAACAACATACCCTTTCAGAGGATTTACAGCAATTGCATATGGTTCGCCTGCCATATTTGTAAGAAGTCTTGTGCAGTTTGGTCCATTTATCTGTCCCACATTGATTGAGTATCTTAAACTTGTCCAGTGAGTTGTATAATAACTAAACCAATGCATTCTGGAATGATCCGTCCAATAAATGTTTCCAGCTATCCAGTCAACTGCAATGTCTCTAGGGCGTTTGAATTCAGGACACTAGAAAGAAAATAAAAAACAGATTTTTAAAATTACACTGTTATATATTTATTTGACATGGTTTGTCTATAAGGAAACTTAACATTTAACATTGAGCTTAAAGGAACATTTAAAGTCTAAAGTGTATATTTTAATAGCCTATTTTGAGTTCAAATGTATATGTCTCCAAAAAAAGTCAGACATGATTCCACTTTATGCATCACGGACTGCCAGAATTGCTATACTATATAACAATATACTATATTGTTACCTTCCAAATAGTTTTTTAGCCATTGAAGTTTTGCAATAGCCATTTCATATTTTGTTGATGGGTATGAGACTGCCTGGACAAGTCCCTGAAGTTTTCTTGGCAAGGTTTTTCAGAAGTGGTTTGCCATTGCTTCCTTCCTAGGGCTGAGAGAAAGTGACTGGCCAAGGTCACTCAACTGGCTTTGGGCCTGGGTGGGTCTCCCATTTCTAGCCTGATGCCTTAACCACTACACCAAACTGAACACTTAAAAAAAAAAGTATAACAAAGGATAGCTATAAAGGAGTCATATAGTAGCAATGATACAAATAGGAAGTGCAGTATCAACTGATAGTGTTAGCAAAACAGGTGAAAACACTCAGTAGGATGTTTGCAGCTTTCTAGAAGATAATGTTAGCTTTATTCAACTGTAAGAGCATTACACTGGAGCATAATTTTGGGAACCCCTACATTCCTATCCAACATAGAAGAACTGTATACAAAAGCATGCAAGGTAACTAATAATGTCAAAAATGAGAAATTAACAGAAGTTCAGCTCTCTTAGGTAACTCACTATTAAGTATTCCACAAGTCCATTTTCTCTTCCAGGACAAATTTTGACCCAATTAAAGGATTATGGAGATACAGTGGAACCTCGGTTTACGAACCTAATTCGTTCCGTGACTCTGGTCGCTACCCGAATTGGTCGCAACCTGAAGCAAATTTTCCCATAAGGTTCAGTGTAATTACTGTTAATCCGTTCTGGCATGGAGGACAGGGAGGTGGCTATTGCTTGGAGGGAGAGTCCCCCTCCCTATGACCACGTGTCAGGGGTGGAAAAATGGCCGCGGACCACGTGTCAGGGGCTGAAAAATGGCCGCAGACCACGTGTCAGGGGCGGAAAATGGCCACGGACCATGTGTCAGGGGTGGAAAATGGCCGTGGACCACGTGTCAGGGGTGGAAAAATGGCCGCGGACCACGTGTCAGGGGCCGAAAAATGGCCGCAGACCACGTGTCAGGGGCGGAAAATGGCCACGGACCATGTGTCAGGGGTGGAAAATGGCCGTGGACCACGTGTCAGGGGTGGAAAAATGGCCACGGACCGTGTCACGGGAGGGAAAATGGCCGCGTATCCTGTTCATACGCCGAGGCGGAGTTCGCAAACCGAAGCAAAATTTTGCGGCCGGAGCTGGTCGTAACCCAAAAAGTTCGTTAACAGAAGCGTTCGTAACCCGAGGTTCCACTGTAGAGGCCGGAGCTGGTCGTAACCCAAAAAGTTCGTTAACAGAAGCGTTCGTAACCCGAGGTTCCACTGTAGATAGATAGATAGATGATAGACAGATAGAAACACAGAACTGAATTATTATCCAATTGTTAGCTTTATTTAGCTTGTCAGAATATCTGCAGATTTTCTGTGTTTGATGACAAGATTTAGCATGTATTAGGTCTATATACCCAAACCTTCCTGAGAATGTCATTCTGTATTTTATAAGTATATATCCTGTGCAGTGAGTCTGCTAGTATTATTATACTGACCATCAATAAACTGGGGGAGGAGGGGATCAGAACTACACTGTTGCAATCAGAACAATAAAGTATACATTGATGACATTTGCAGAATTTCTTTCCTGACTTAAAAAGTCAAGTCAATCTGTAGATGATACTGTATACTATGAAGTGAATAGGAGGATATGCATTAGTTCATTTTATATATACTTTTAATCCTTCAAAAATAATAAAAACCCAGCTTCTGCCATTTAAAGAAAAACTCAATTTCAATATTACAAATAGTATTACTTTGAAACCATTATGAGTGCCATGACATTTATTCACAGAAATGAAATACTCTTTCTAAGCTAATGTATGAGCTCTTTCTATTTTTATTCTGGAGGAGGGGAATCATAGCTGTTCTACTATATTTAAAATGTTTTAAGGTAAAGGAAACAAAAAAGAAATTATTTCATTTCATGTTTATTGTGTCAAAAAAACATGTTGTTTTAGAATAATTCAGCTGCACTTAGGATTAGTTCTAGTACAAAGTCTACAAGCAGTCTGTTGTAACTTTGACATCCTACTACTCTTTCTTCTTCTTTTGTGTTTAAGGGGGGTGGGGGAAAAAAAACCCCTCTCCTGGTTAAGGGCTAAGCCATGACCAAACATTCAGAAAGAAAGAAATTAGAGAAGAAATTTTGGATGGATATACTGACACCAAGAAAGAGGAGTTAGATCTGGGTTTGTGTAAAAGGAGACTTTGAGGCTTCAGGGAAAATGCTACTTGTCTTTCAAAGAACTGTATGGATTAACAGTAGAATCTACACACCTTCACTTGCAACAATATATTAAAAGTAGGTAGTTGCCTTATGCTGTGTAGAACAAAACAAAATTATTCTGTGCTATAATGGAAATCAAAAGGGGGGAGCTCATACTATGCTACAAAAATACTAGACAGAATGCAGAAAAAATTGGTATTCACAATCTAAATAAATAGAGAATTTATCTACCATGCAGTTGCTTAAAACAATAAATTAAGGACTGGTGAATCTCCAGAATTTTAGATCTATATTATATTGAAACAGAGGTGCCTCTACTGCTGCAGAGGTCCTTCACTGTCCACAGAAAAGTCAACTTTACAGGCAACATGGGACAGAAGGAAGTTACCTGGGGTTTACGTTTTAAAATATAAATATATACTATTCTTAAATTTGCTGTTCTTATATTCTTAAATATAAATTATTAGAAATATATGCATTGATATACAAATAATGTATAGGCAACAATGACATTTGCTTCAATGTGTACTATTATTTTTTTATTTTGAAGTTACAAATTTATAAACATGCACCATAAACAGAATATAGGATAAATATTTCAAAACTGATGTACTACTAACTTAAATTACATTCACTTTATTTTTTTAGGTAGCTCTATATGGCCAAATCTTATTAATTTGAGCAATCATTTATGCATGCATATTTGTGCATGTGTGTGTATATGGGTGTACAAGCATATTATGTTTTTCTTAATAACATCAAGACAGTGTACAAAAATTAAAATGAACTATAAAACATTTAAGCAATAGAGCGTTAAACAAAAGTTTTGGAATAGCATAATTATTTTATCATCATCATCTTCATCACTGATTCATGTGAGATGAAAGTGAAATAGAAAGGAAAGTGAAAAATACCAAATTTAACAAAAATCCACATAAGATAAAGAGAGGATAGGTTCATGCTTACCTTTTTAAGTGTACACATCTCTACAGTTCTGCATGTGTGCGTGCACACACACACACACACATACTGCATACACAGAACTTTCTCATACAAGACAGAAGAACTCCAAATGTTCAAAAGACATTATAGAAATCAATGCAGGGAATGATATGTGTGTTTCAAGAGACCTGCACTACTGCAAGCATCAATAGGATTTTTCTAACATTTGAAAAAAAACGGTGCAATGTGTATTAAGAGGCCTAGCTGCCAGAGCTGCACCAGCTGACCCTTCCTTAAAGAGAACGATTCCAAGAAGTTCTCTGTGATATATTCAGTACATAGAAAATTGGCCAAATCAGGATATCGTTAATTAAAAATAACACAATAATAAACCATATCAAAGTTGAGAACTGTTAAAATCTACAGTATTACTCCTTATAGCCTACTTAGGAGATATTTGGATATACAAAGAAATAAAATGCTGGTACCAAGTGCTTGAATTATAGCAACAAATAAGCCTCCCCAGGTGGCACATTTTACAGATGCTAA